GGGAAAGAGGGATGAGGTTGGGGATGGGGTGACTTACTCCTTCACTTCCACCCATCCTGGCCTATGGCGAAGGACGTCCATGAGGGTGTTCATAAGCGTGGTCTTGAATCGGATGGACGCTCTCTGCTCTCTGCAAGACAAAGCGACAGAACACTGCTGGGCACAGCTTCCCTGGGATGGCCCGGAGATGGGAGAAAAGGGGAGGAAGAAAGGTCCAGCCCACAATTGCAAATGCCAAAAGCAGAATTACTGAACTTAGAATGTAGCATCACAGTGTGGCAACACTCACAATAACAAAATTGAGGGTGGGGGAAATGGCAGATGGGAAGGTGGGAGAGGAACCTGAAAAGCCTCCGCGAGCTGGAGCCACCGGAGCAATGGAAGGGTCGCAGCACTCAGAAGCGATCAGCTGAAGAAGCAGCAGTGGGCCTCCCAACAAAGCCTACAAAGATCTCCAAGTTGGGATCTGCTACAGGGGTCAGACGGCAAAGAAAGCACCAGCCATCGCCATCAAACTTGGATCACTTGAGCCTAAAGAAACAACTCCAACTCTTGCTCCAAAACCCTTTCAGTAGCAGCGGCTTTTAATGAAGATAAAGATAGTGAACCAGAGGAGATGCCTCCAGAAGAAACGATGAGGATGAAGAACATAGGAAGAAACAAGCCAACATCAGTGGGACCAAACTCCTTCAGTAAGGGAAAGTGTGGACTTTCTGATAACCAGAACCTATGAAAGCGAAATATAAAATCTTATCTTGCAATTGTCCATGACCAAGACAATTAAGTACGTGTTTTGAAATTGGGGTGTGGGCTGAGTGTAAAGTTAAAAAGAAAGTTTCCCTTTTTTAAAAACAATGATTTAATTTTATTTATGATTATTTCATTTGACCAGAGAGAGGGAAAGTGAGAGAGCAAGCCATCTGGGACTCGAACCACAGTCACTATGTGGGAGTCCAGTACCTTAACCACCATGCCGACTGATTACAGAGAGAAACCTTTCATGGTAGAGTGGAGAGATGCAGCAACTCTCTGGGGGTGAGTGTCTGGGCTGAGTATGTGCCAATGGGAGAATTAACTCATCTTTTTGAAAAAATGTTTATTTATTGTTATGGTTTTTCTGATTTGCTGTAGGGCACATGCACTCACCAGAGAGAGACAGAGAAAGTGAGAAAGCAAGCCACTGGGTCCGACTCAAACCATGGTTGGTTGGGGTTTGAGTCCTGGACCCAGCAGCTTGAAACTTAGCCAAGCATGGGTGTGTGCATGCCCAGAATCCAGAGAGGAGAGTGGAGGAGTAGGGATTGCCACATGGCCATTCTCCCAGGGAGTGATTTCTCACTTTCCATCTCTCTGTCTCTCCAGTGAATGCAGGCACCCTTTAGCAAAAATTTCTCAAAAAACTCCCCCCAAAAAACATGGTCAGCCATATCGGGAGTCTAGCGCCTTAACTACTACACCACCAGCTGGCCCCCTTTTTAAAAAGTGTATTAAAGAATGGTTTTATTTTATTATTACACTTATTATTATTATTTTAATTTGACTAGCAAGAGAGAAAGAGAAAGAGAAAGAGAGAGAGTGAGAAGGCAAGTCACCAGGTCTGGGACTGGAACAGCAGTTGGTCTTGTGGGAGTCCAACACCTTAACCACTATGCCAACCTGCAGGCACCAGAGAATGAGCTCATCTTAAAGAGAAACTTTGCAGGCATGAAGTCGGTGGAGCTTGGACAATATATAGGGTGGCAAAACAAATCAGATCCAGGAAAAGCCCCATTCCAAGACGAACAAACAAACTGGCAAATTTTCTAAGAAAAGAATAGTAGAGAAAACAGAGAAAAGCACAGAGAAAACACATACGCCTGCACATTTATGTAGTGTTTTCACTTGGGCAGCCTTGCCAGAGTGGCATCTGAAAGTAAATGATGACAACAAAATAATTGGAATTGCGGCCTAATCCCCCACCTGCTCAAATATTAGCAAGCTCAAAATAGCCATGCAGGAGATTGGGGTGAGCTCGATCTAATTAAAGTTTTAGAAGGAATATAAGTAATCAGCCCCTAACCTTAACTGCTAATCAAAGCAAAGAGCTTGCATGCTCTGGAAAATAAATACATGAAAATTCTTAGTCTTGGGCTAGCCCCATAGTGCAGGAGTTAAGCCCTGTGCATAGGGAGCTGGACCCCACATGGCTGACCAAGGTTCGAATTCCAGTCCTGGCAGCTTGAAAGAACACACCAAGCACATGAGAGTACATGCCCTAAATCCTGATAAGATGGAGAAATGAAGGAGAAAGGGTTGCAGCATGACCAAGCCCCATTGGAAGTTTCTCTCTCTCTCTCTCTCTCTTTTTCACTAGTGAGCCCCTGTACCCTCTACCAGTTAAAAAAAGTGTTTTTTTAAGTCTTTTTGTTTGTTTGTTTGCCTTATGGTGCATGTACTTGCCAGAGAGAGATAGAGAGAGGGGAAGTAAAAAATCATCCCCCCCCAGGGGTATTGGCCATGCTGCAATCCCTTCTCCATTCTCTTCGCAGGATTTGGAGTATGCATGCACATGTGCTCAGCATGATTTTCACGCTGCTGGTTTCAGGACTTGAACCATGGTCAACCATGTGAGAATCCAGTGCCTTAACCACCACATCACCTGGGCCAGCAGATACTGGGTTCTCACATGGATTCTCTTCACTGCTTTTTGCTATTTCTAGAAAGCAATTTGAAAATCTAACATATGCAATATCAAAACAGGAAAGTATGATGCATGATCAAGAAGAAAAACAGCCAATTAAACCCACGACCCAGATATTGGAATTATCGGATAGGGAACTTCACGTTTGTTTCACAAAATTTACAGGAAAAGATATAATGTGTGAATAGATGAGTTATTGCAAAAAAGAAACTGAAAGTCTAAAAAAAAGTCAAAGGAATTTCTAGAATAGAAAACTATAATCAATATCTGAAAAGAAAATTCAACAAATGGGTGTAACAGGAAACTGGGCATTGTGGAAGAAAGGGTAGTAAATTTGAAGACAGGTGCCTTGAAATTATTCAAACAGAATCGGAGAAGAAAGGGGCCAGCAGGTGGCATAGTGGTTAAGGGCACTGGACTCCCACATGGTCAACCACAGCTCGAGTTCCAAACCTGGAGACTTTCTCTCTCTCTCTCTCTCTCTCTCTCTCTCTCTTGTTCTGTCCTCTCTGGTCAAATTAAAATTTAAAAAAATGAAATTAAATAAGATAATTCTTTTTTAAAAAATAGAATTAGTGAAGAAAGACTTTGAATAAAAAGAACCTCTATGACTCATGGGAGAATATCAAGCAGTCTACATACATGTAATTGGAGTCTCAGCAGTATAGAAACAGATAATGTTTTTGGTGGGCCAGCAGCTGATGTGGTGGTTAAGAGGCTAGATCCCACATGGCAAACTACACAGCTCCAGTCCTGGACCCAATGTTTGAAAAACACATAGGCACACTTGCGTGTATGCCCAAAAATCCTAAGAGAAAAATGGAGGAGAAGGGATTGCAGCATGACCATCCCCCTTGGGGTGATTTTTTCCTCTTCTCTCTCTCTCTCTCTCTTTCTCTCCCTCTGGTGAGCACACATACCTTACAGCAAAAAGGCTAAAAAAAGAAACCTAAAAATATTGATAAAATAAGAAGGTTTAGCTAAAAGTCAATAAAGGAGACAAAATGGAATATTAAAAAAATTCTCAGGACCAGCAGTTAGCTAATGGCTGTATTGCTGGACTCCCATGTAGTCAACCGCAGTTTGAGTCTTGGACCCGGTGGCTTAAACTCACGCAGGGCATGTGAGTTTAAGATCCTGAAAGGAGAATGGAGGAGAAGGGATTGCGGCGTGGCCATCCCCCTTGGGGGGTGATTTTTCACTTTCTGTCTCTCTGTCTCTCTGGCAAGCACACATGCACTATCGCAAAAACCTCTCTAAATAAATAAACAATCAATCCAAAACAACAAATGTCCAAAAAGACATGTAATCTCAAAATCCATCAGACCAGATAAAATGTTAAAAATCAGACAAATACCAAGTGCTCACAAGAATGTGGAGAAGTAATAATTATCCTACATTGCTGATAGGAATGTAAATGAGAGGAGCCTTTGGAGAACAATTCAGCATATTAAAACCATCCGTTACTATGTCAAACCATGAGCCTGGCAAAAATCTAAAAGTCTAAGTTTTGGCAACAATGGGATAAAATGGAAACTCTGCTGGTAGAGCTTACTTTGGAGAGCCGCGTGGCAATTTTTAGTCAAGTCAAATGTGCACATATATGGGACCAGCAGGTGGAGTAATGGTTACATCATTAGATTCCCATGTCGTCAACTATAGTTTGAGTCCTGGACAGGGGCTTGAAACTCACTTTGGGTACCTGTGCGTGCATGCCCACAATCCCAAGAGCAGAATGGTGGAGAAGGGCTTGCAACATGATCATCCCCCTATGTGTGTGGTGTGTGTGCATGTGTGTGATTTTTCGCTTTCTGTCTTTCTGTCTCTCTGTCTCTCTGACAAGCATAGGCGCCCTGTAGCAAAAACCTCTCTCTCAAAAAAAAAAAAAAAAATGCATGTATGTCCTAAGCTCAGCCATTTCGCCCTAGCTCTGTACTCTACATAGGTACTAGGAAACACAGGAACCAGGGTGCTCTGTAATTGTTCATTTTTAATGCACATAACCTGTAACATACTGAGGGGGGTCCACCCACATTCACTGGCGTTCACCCTTCCTGCGCATGCCAGTCAGAGAGCTTTCCGTTGCCAGCACCTGCAACTCCTCCTGAGGGCTTTCTCTGCACCTGCCCCCACTCCCTACTCCCCAGTCAGGGAGTGGAGTGGACCTAGGACCAAGGAGTTAATGGCCCCTCCTCCAACAGCTACAATGACAGTGGAGCTGGGAGTCACTGTCAGCAGAAGCCCGCAGTGCATTCCACAGCCTCAGGAGCCCCCAGTGGGAGGAGGGCCCAGCAATAACTATCCATGCACCTTCCTCGGCTTCCCTCTCTTTGCTGTCTTACTTTGCCGCTTCCTCACCAGGGCTTACTGGAATCCTCTTCCAAATTAACCACTTGCTCTCACATCTTTGTCTCAGGGTCTGTTTCTGGGGAAAACCAATACTAAGACACAGGGTAAGTGCCTTTCAACAGGAAGATGGATAAGCACCCCCGTGGTGTGCATGGATACAGCAGTTATCACAGGGCTGCTGAAGAGGCAGGAGAGCATAGTCAGTGGACTCTGGAGTGACAAGCACCGTCACTAACTGAGCATATGATTTTGAGAAAGTCACTTGGCCTCTCTGAGATTCACTTTCTTCATCTGTAAAATGGACCCAGTAACAGTATGTACTTTCGTGCCAGCAGGTGGCATGGAGGTTAAAGCGCTGGATCTCACATGGCCGACTCTGCAGTTGAGTCCTAGATGCAGTGGCTTGAAGAAACATAACAGGTACATGTGCATGCATGCCCCAAATCCAAGAGGAGACTGAAGGAAAAGATATTGTGGTGTGGCCATCCTCCTTAGGGATAATTTCTCACTCTCCACCCCCTCTCATGAGCACACACACCCTACAGCAAAAACTAATAAAAAAGTATGTACTCCAAAGGGTTAAAGATTCCATAAGATAGTACAGGTACTGTGACCAGTCCAGGGCCTAGCACATGGCAGGTGCTCAATAATTGTTTATTATTATGACTACTATTATTATCATCGTAATTATTGAAGTAAAGAAGAGAGAAAGTCAGATGGAGGGAGGGAGAGGAGGAAGGAAGGACAGGAGGGAGGGAGGAAGTTAGCTTTGTGTGTATGGACTGAGTGGACAACTCACCGCTCTTTGCCCTTTGACAATCCATGGCTCTTGTAATTTTGATTCTGCAATAAGAAAAGGATAAGGATGTAATAGGTTTTGCGTATCTGCCCTGCCTTTCCAGCTCAACTTACTGCAGATCTGAAAATGCTCAAACCATCAGATTTAGAAATGCCTAGGTCCTGAGATGTGACCAGTTGGTTAGATGTTCACCAGTCACCATGTGCCCAGCATCAGTCCAGATATACATGCTATGCTTGAGATGAACCCCCAAGCATCTGAGGACTCACCTCACTGTGGGCTTGTTCCACTGTAGGCATAGACAGTAGAGTGAATTTCTTGCTCCAAACGTCAACCCAGAGACCCAGTTTTGAGAGCTCAGCTCAGCACAGCAGGCTCTGGGTGAAGAATCTGGACTTTCTAGTCTAACTTCACATATTGTATTAGCAGGGTCAGCAGATGGCATAATGGTTACATCACTGGACTCCCACATAGTCAACTGTGGTTTGAGTCTCGGACTTGGCGGCTTAAAACTCAGGCCAGGTGCATGTGTGTGCATGCTCAAAATCCGGAATGGAGGAGAAGAGATTGCAGCATGGCCATCCCCCTGGGGCAGGGGGTGATTTCTCATTTTCTGTCTCTCCGTCTCTCTGGTGAGCACATGTACCCTGTAGCAAAAATGTCTCTGGGAAATTTTATATATATAATTTATATATATATATAAAGTGATATATGTCCCGGGCCAGTTGGTGGCATGGTGGTTGGGACAGCTGGATCACATGGCCAAACTTATGGCTTGTGTCTTGGAACCAGAGGCTTGAGGAACATGCCAGGTGTGTGTGCATTCATGCCCAAAATTCTGAGAAGAAAATGGAGGAGGGGGGATTGTAGCATGGTCACCCTCTGGGGCATGATTTCTCACTTTCCCTTTCTGTCTCACTCTCTCCCTCTGTCTCTCTCTCTCTCTGGTAAGCATACGTGCCGTATAACAAAAACTATTAAAAAAGAAAAAGTGGGGGAGCCAGAGGTGTTATGGTGGTTAAGGCATTGGGCTCCTACATGGCTGACTGCAGTTCAAGTCCCGGTCCTGGCAGCTTGCTTTCTCACTTTTTCTCTAGTGAGCACACATGTACTATAGCAAATTAAAAAGTATTAACACTAACAATATCATTAAATAAAAGAAGATTCTTTAAAAGGTATATTTTAAAAGTGCATGTATTCCAATCCATGTTTAGAGAGTATTAATTTTTCTTTAAGTTGAGAATTGGATCATGACTAGCATAGCATTAGCTGAGATGAAAGGAAGAATGTATTTAAGATGTATTTAGAAGGTTAAAGGAGCAGGCCTTATTGAATGTGGGAAGTGAGGAAAACAGAGGAGCAAAGATAGAATCCCAGCTTTCTGTCCTGAACAACCAGGTAGGTAGTTCAAGAGCTGCTCAACACTGACCAGCTGTGTACCAGCTCAGTGCTGGGCATGGTGGGTACCGGAAAGAACCAGTCAGACAAAATCTTGGAGTCCAGCAGCGAAAATAGACAGTAGACAAATAATCATGAATAATAAGCCCTGGTAAAAAGGAGAAATTCAAGACACTCTGAAAGTAGATAAACTCGAGTTTTTTTGTTTGGTTTTGCTTTGTAAGAGGGAATTAAAGAAATTAAAGTGCCAGTCATGAGAAGACAAACATGAAATAAGAAGTCGGTCGGGGTGAGGGGAACTGGATTCCAAAGTAATTCAATTTCCTTCTTTGGGTCTCATTTTTCTTACTCTTAAAATGGAAGAGTTGGCCTGTGCGCTCTTGGAGGGCAGGGCTTGTCTGATTCACCTTGGTGTCCCTTGGCCAGCACCAGGCTTGGCTTGGAAAAGTCACTAATTAACCGGCTGGGTTTTTTGCGAGGTAGGGGATAAATGGGTGACAGTTGGAAGGATGGATAGACAGATGGACAGGCAGGAGGGCAGCGGGATGAATGAATCTCTCAGGGCGTCTCCAGGTCATGAAATCATGAAATGTGAAATTCTGAGCTTTACTCGGGGTTACAGAAGTCGTCAAGCACCCTTTAGTCTCAGAGTTTTGTGACTCTCCGGCAGGGCTCTTGGGACATGCGCAACAGCTCCGGCGGCGCGCAGCATGCCGGGAGTTGTAGTCTTTCCCTTGAGTTAAGCTTTTTCTTCTCCTCCCCAGAATCCCTCCGCAAGGAGCCCGACCAAGTTCCAAATGGCCGCGAGGCTTCCCTCTCTTTCCAGGAACGATAAAAACATCTAGATCGGGTGCCATTCCTACCTTCGGTCGTGACATGACACGATTCCCCAGGACCTAATTTGACGCCACAGCAACCTGCGTTACCTTGAGCGTCCCGTTACAGTCCCGTTGCCAAGGCGACTGAGGGGCGCTGGATTCGCTGCTCTGATTGGATGAAGCAGGGACACGCCTCTCAGCAGAGTATACAGGCGGGTGTCCACCCCTAAGCCAGGAAGCTCTTGAATGACCTGGCAGGTCAAGTCCCTGCGATTCCTTCAACCTCTCCCTCCCAGCCTCTCCTCTCTGCGACTCTGAAGCACTCATGGCCAGAAGTTGGCTGCGCGCAGGGGACACTTACTGCCCAGCGCTGCCTCCAACTGTAATTCCCTCCACCTGAGGACGCTGTGTCTGAAGAGTTGTCAGCTTGTTTCTTTACTCAAGGAAAGTCGCCTAAGTCACATCATCAGACGGTAAGGCAGCCAATCAGTCACCTCTTCGCTCTCCCAGTCACTTTTTTTTATTTACATTTTTTTAATACATTCAATCATATTATTTAGCTTACAAGGTGATAATTTCAATATGTGAACATTTCTCCCCGGTCCAATTGATCAAAATGTAACAATACTCCCTCCCTGTCTGAACAATGCTGTCTCCGTATCCCTCCTTCAAATGTTTTTCCCCAGGCCCCACTCCTCCACACACACCACATCTGGCATTCACACCCATCTCTTGTATTTGTACATCCTTTAGCCCGTCAGTCACTTTCTAATTCCTAAGCACCAACTGTATGCAGGAACTCACCTCAACCCCTGCAGGAGCCTCCCGACCAACCTGCTAATGCCCACCCTTGCCCTATCCATTCTCTGCACTTCAGCCAAAGAACTCTAAAACATAAATTCGATCATTTCTCTTCCATCCATATATCCTTCCATCATTCCCATCATCATTAAGATTGGGGAGCCACCAGGAGGCGTGGTGGTTAGGGCACTGGACTCCCACATGGCCGACTATGGTTCAAGTCCCAAACCTGGTGGCTTACTTTCTCACTTTCTCTCTCTCTTGCCTTTTTCTCTGTCTCTCTCTTGTGAGCGCAAGTGCCCTATAGCAAAAACTTTGTAAAATAAAAATAATAAAATAAAATAAATAATTCTATATTTAAAAAAAAGATAAAGATTGGATAGAATTCCTTACCTTGACTTGGAAGGTTCTTACTGGTCCGGTGCCTGAGAATTTTGCCAGCCTCATCTTTTCTACCGTTTACCCCTTGATCTCTCCATTCCAGCCTCAGTTACTGTTTTAACCCTTATTTTTATCTCCCCCACTTATCTCTGTTAACCTTGAGGTTCCCTTTGCTGGTCACTCTTTCACCCCTGCTGCCCAGATCTCAGTTTGCATTTTTATCTCTGAAAAGCCTTCTCAGACTACCCACTCCCTGAACTGCCTCCTTTAAGTCCTCAGTGTTCTCAGTGTCTTCCCACATGTACAGAAAAACAACAACAACAAAAAGATGGAGGGATTAATTTTTTTAAAACATTTATTGGGACTAGCAATTAGCGTAATGGCTATGTCGCTGGACTCCCATGTAGTTGACCGCAATTCGAGTCCCGGACCCGGTGGCTTAAACTCAAGCCGGGCGCATGTGCGTGCATGCCCAGGATCCCGAGAGGAGAATGGAGGAGAAGGGATTGTGGCGTGGCCATCCACCCTGGAGGGTGATTTCTCGCTTTCTGTCTCTCTGTCTTTCTCTCTGTCTGGCGAGCGCACGCGCCCTATAGCAAAAACCTCTCAAAAAATTTTATTTATGTATTCCTTCCATTAGCAAGATAGAGAGAGAGGGAAGCACCCCCAATAGACTCTTCACACCATGATCCCCTGCTCTCTCAGCATGCCTGGACTGTGGGCACACGTGCACATGCCCAGCATGGACGCAAACCAGAACCTTTCCTCTATGGGTCCAGTTGAATTACCACTGTTCCACCACCTAGCCCCTGAGAGGGTTTTCTGTCATTGTGGTTTCAGGGCTTAGTACAATGCTTTGGCACTTGGCAGATGACCAATAATAACTATTGAATAAATGATAAATAAGACACATTAATTGAATGGATAGTTAGAGAATGTGATACAAAACACAGGAAACCCCAGATAGATAGCCAAAAGAATTAAAAATAGGTACTCAAATACTTATACATGAATGTTCACAGCAGTACTCTTCATTGGGTTGTCGGAAAAGTTGTGATGTATTTTTCTGCTTTTCTATGCAAAAATGACTCATGACTATTCCGATGACCCAATTCAATAGCCAAAATGTAGAGGCAGCCCAAATGTCTATCAAGGGATAAACAAGTCATAGTATACACATACAATAAAATATTACTCAGGCTGTAAACAGGAATGAAGTACTGATACACACTGATATGTGAAATATTGATATTGATATGTGAATGAACCTCACTTATCATTTGCTAAGCATATTGCTTAGTGAAAGAAGATGGACACAAAAGGCCACATATTATATGACCCATGTATATGAAATATCCAGAATAGGTAAATCCATGAGACAGAAAACAGATTGATGGTTACCAGGAATTAGTCATGTCTCTCATAATTGTTAGGTTAGATAATTACATGCTTAACTTTATCCATTATGTATTATTTATGTAACTTATACATAACTGTGAAGATATTTTCCAAAGTGTTTCCACCATTTTACATTCCCACCAGGAATGGATGATGAGTTCCACTTGTTCCACATCCTCACCAACTTTTGTTTTTTTCCATCTTTTCCATTTTAACTATTGCAAAGCTAGCTCATTGCAGTTTTTTAAGAATTATTTATTTTTAATTGTATTTACTCATTTATTTATATTTTTTATATTTCGACCAGACACACACACACATACATTCATGTGTATGTGCACACACACACACACACACACCCACAGAAAGTGAGAAAGCAAGTCACCAGTTCTGGGACTTGAACTGTGGTTGGCCATGTGGGAGTGTCCAGCGCCTTAACCACCATGCCACCTGCTGGTCCCAGATAGTATACTGTAGTTTTAAATAATTGAAAATGGGTTGACTGACCATGACATGAGGGAACTTTCTGGAGGGAGAGAAATCTGCATGTTTAAATAAAGATGTGAGTTACATGGGTATATACATCCCCATTGACTGAACTGAAAACTTAAGATCTATTCATTTCATTATTTATAAATTATACTTCAGTACAAATTGTGTAAAGAGAAAAAATCTAACAGCAAGCATCCCACTTAATGACAATATTTAAGAAGCATTCTCACTAAAGACAAGGAAAATTATGACTGCCTTTTTTAGAACAATGCAAGTTACAGCATTTTTTTAAGAATTATTTTTATTTATTTATTTTATTTATTTATTTAAATTTGACCAGAGGGGGACAGAGTGAGAGAGGGAAAGTGAAAAAGCAAACAACCAGGTCTGGGACTTGAACCATAGCCAGCCATGTGGGAGTCCAACACCCTCAACTACCTGTCAGTTCTTATGGCTGCTTTTTTTTTTTTTAAAGCTGCTTTTTTTTTTTTTAAAAAAAGAACTATTTTATTTAACTTTATTTATTTATTTTTGTTTGTTTGACCAGAGGGGGACAGAGTGAGAGAGAGAGGGGGAAAGTGAGAAAGCAAGCCACCAGGTCCGGGACTTGAACTGTGGTCTGCCATGTGGGAGTCCAGCATCCTTAACCACCACGCCACCTGCCAGCCCCCCTATGACTGCTTTTTAACTCAGCTATTATTCAACATTGTACTGGGAGTGCTGGCCAATGCAATAAGACAAGAAATGAAGATAAATGATTTGTATCAGATTTAGAAAAGAAGAGACAAAGTTGTCATTTGCAGATGGCATGAGAACTGTACTGTTCTGAATTCATAGTTACAAAAACAGAAACTCTATTTGATTAAAATATAAATAGAATTCATGGGTGAGATATTAAATGAATCACAGAGTTGATGAGAAGCTTGAAGAATCAGAATCAAAAAAAAGGAGCCAGGAATCTAGGGAATCTAGCTGATCAACATTGCAGTTAAAATCAGGGTTCACAGAGAGTTTGTTTGGGGTACCCTTGCTGATTATTGCTGCACACCGGATACCACTACTGGCATGACTGTTGCAGATAGCACCAGACACTGGATGTCATTCCTGGTACCCACACCTCTGCTCAGTAGATGCCACTGCTAATGCTGGTATTGGCCACATAAATTTTAAGCAGACACTTGTTTCATTGTACTGTTTGCCTCTTTTTATTTGTAAAGAATTATTTATTTATCATTTTTATTATTTTTTAAAATTTGTTACAGGGCACATGCACTTGCCAGAAAGAGACAGAGAGAGAAAGTGAGAAAGTAAACCACTAGGTCCAGGACACGAACTGCAGTTGGCCATGTGGGAGTCCAGCACCTTAACCACCACACCATCTGCTAGCCCTATGAACTCTTTGCTTCTTGTCTCTTGGGTAAGAGCATATAGTTGGCTGAGCTCTGGTCCACAAACTGTACTCTAACTGCTAGGGACAGAATCCCTGCCTCTTCTTGTGTCATACACTGGCAGTGTGGAAGAGGCTGCTATCCACTTTTCTGAGACAGATGTAGGAGGCTGGGAAGGGCATTCCAGACAGAGGGAACAGCAGATGCAAAGTTGTAAGTCAGAGAGACTGAAGCATGTTTGCAATAGTGAATACAGATCAATGACCAGGGCAAAAATGAAGGAGACAGGAGAGATGAGGCATCCAAATCTGTATTTTTAAAAACAAACATTTTAAAGCTTACTTCATTTATTTCTTTCATGGATGAGAGAGAGAAGAGATAAAGAGAAGCAACACCCCCACAGAGTCTAACACTGTGATCCAACCCTCAGCCTTGGACAGCTCCAGATTATGGGCACTGTGCACTCTACTACTCAGGGAGGTCGCCAGACAAGAACCCGGAACCCTCACAGAGTAGTGTTGTGTTTCACTGCTGCACCACCACCCAGCCTGGCTCATGTTTTTTTTGTTTTTGTTTTTGTTTTTATTTACATTCATTCACTGTACACCATTATAGCATACAAAATGAGATTTTTCCATTCAGAATACACTGTATATTGGCTCAATCAAGCATATCAACATATGTGTTATTGTCAACAAATAATTTTCCATTTCTGTTTCCTGTATATTTTGCCTTTTTTCCCATCCTTGATTCCCTGTCTCACCCTCAGCCAGCTCACACCCTCCTCCCACACTGTGTCTGGTATTTTTTGTTGCTTTCTATGCCTCCCCCATTTTATTGTTTCACTAAATATCTTAATAGATCTATATATTTTCAATAGCACAGGTGATATATACATACCCATGAACACAAGTCTGACTTTAGGCATAAACCTCAGTGAATAGAATGAACATACTATAAAGTAGCACCTAGCTAGGGCTATATAGCTTACTGCAGTCATCAAATAG